GCTACCACGCCCGGCTGATTTTTTGATTTATTGTAGAAATGAGGTCTCGCTGCCCAGGCGGGTCTCGAACCCGCGGGCTCAGGCAATCCACTCACCTCAGCCTCCCAAAGGCGCGGGATTACAGGCTGAGCCACCAAACCTGGCTTCATCTTGGTTCTTTTAATGGAATTTAAATACCACAATCTAGGACTGTTTTGAATGGACAGAACTAAAAAGTGTGTGTATTTTTCATTATTACTTATGGGTTCACAGTGATACCTAAAACTTAAATTTAGGATTGTAGGGTGCTGTGGTCTGAATGTCCTCCAGAATTCATATGTTGAACTTAATCACCAACGTGATAGAGGTGGGGCCTTTAGGAGGTGATTAAGTCATGAGGGTAGAGCTTTGTGAGTGGGACAGTTGAGGGCCTTCATAAAGGTCCTGGGTAGTGTGTGTCCTCTCTTCTGCCCTTCTGTCACATGAGAGTGCAGCAGTAAGACCCTCAGCACACACTGATGCTAGCACCTTGATCTTGGACTTCCCAGTCTCCAGTACTGTGAGAAATAGATTTCTGTTCTTTATAAATTACCCAGTCTGTGGTATTATGTTCTAGCTGCACAGACTAAGACACCATGTGTCTTGTCTTTTTTCCTCTTCAACTGTGTTGAGAATCCAGTTCTCAACAACTCCTGGGTGATGGATTAGATGTTGCTTAGTGCTTGACATTGCTGCACAAAGTTTAAATGATATTCTGATTTTCAGTGTCTTATAAGTCACTTGATTTTTGTACAGCTACTTAAAGTATTTTTTATCAAGTTCCCAAAGTGCTAGAATATTTAAAGTATTAAATTTGTTTTTTCTTTAAAGCCTAAGAAATTCACTAGAATAAGCCTTCAAAGTAGGTCTTTTGGAGTGGGAGTTGATATTCTAGGTATTTTTTGTATTTTTTCAACATATAGTTAATTTTTTGGGGGGGAAATTTTTCCTAAATATAGTTTCAATATTCTGTGCCTTTGTTTTGATTTTCTTCTAAGAGGCATCTATTATCCATGTAGTCAATCTTGATAGCCTCATTTCAGTGTTTACCACTTTCTCTTGAACCCTTTATCTCTTTATTATTTTGAAGAGCTCTGTTGAAGTATAATTTGTGTTCCATAAAATTTGCTCATTGTAAGTGAACAGTAGGTCAATTTTTTTTAGCAAATGATTAGAATTATGCAGTCATGGCCGGGCTCGGTGGCTCAGCCTGTAATCCTGTGCCTTGGGAGGCTGAGCTGAGTGGATTGCCTGAGCCCTCGGGTTCAAGACCCGCCTGGGCAACTTGGTGAGACCTCATCTCTATAATAAATCAAAAAATCAGCCGGGCGTTGTGGCGCAGCTTCGACCTGCTGGGCTCCAGCCATCCTTCCGCCTCAGCCTTCCAAGTAGCTGGAACTACAGGCACGCGCTACCATGCCCGGCTAATTTTTTTTTTTATTTATTGTAGAGATGAGTTCTCGCCAAACAAAACAAAGCAAAACAAAAAGAATTATGTAGTCACCACTACAGTTTAATTTTCCAACATTTCCACATCCCAAAAAGATCCCTCTTGCTGTTTGCAATCAGTCCTGCTTCTGCTGCACAAGTCTGGGCAAACACTGATCTGCTTTTTATTTCTTTTCTTTTTTTTTTTTTTTGAGTTGGAGTCTCACTCTGTCACCCAGGCTGGAGGGTAGTGACACGCTCCCAGCCACTGCAGCCTCAATCTGTTGGATTCCGGTGATCCTTCCCGCCTCAGCCTTCCAAGTAGCTGGAACTACAGGCGAGCGCTACCACGCCCGGCTAATTTTTTGATTTATTGTAGAGATGAGGTCTTGCCAAGTTGTCTAGGTGGGTCTCAAACCCACAGGCTCAGGCACTCCACTCACCTCAGCCTCCCAAAGTTGCAGGATTACAGGCTGAGCCACCGAGCCCGGCTTGCTTTTTATTTCCATAGATTTTTCTTTTCTGAAGATGCTCCATAAATAAAATAATATAACCTGCAGTCTTTTGTGTTTGAATTCTTTCACTGACCATAATTTTATTTATTTATTTTTATTTTTTTTGAGTTGGAGTCTCACTCTGTCTCCTAGGCTGGAGTGCTATGGCATGTTCACGGCCACTGTAGCCTCAACCTGCTGGGCTCAGGTGATCCTTCTGCCTCAGCCTTCCAAGTAGCCAGAACTACAGGCATGTACTACCACCTTGGCTTGTTTTTTGATTTATTGTAGAGACAAGGTCTCACCAAGTTACCCAGGCTGGTCTTGAACCCCTGAGCTCAGGTAATCCTCTCACCTCAGCCTCCCAAAGTGCTGGGATTATAGGTTTAGCCACCGTGCCTGACCTGATCATAATGTTTTTAGGTTCATTTGTATTGTAGCATGTATCAGTGCTGGGACTGCAGGGGTGAGCCATTGTGCCCAGCCACATTTTAAGGTTTTTGATATCAAGAATTTGTTTCCCTCAGTTATTTTCTGCCAAGGGTTCTGTACAGTTGAGAAAGCCTTTCTGAGTGGTTCATGTGGGTTTATACTATGTGTAAATATTCTAGACACTTGCTGGAACAATACCTATAACTCCAAAATGTTCAATCTTCCTGCTCAAGAAGCATGGCTAAGCTGGGTGTGGAGGCTCATGCCTATAATCCCAGCATGTAGGGAGGCCAAGTTTAGAGGATTGCCTGAGCCTATGGGTTCGAGATCAACCTGGGCAACTTGGTGAGCCCTCATGTCTATAGTAAATAAAAAAATTAGCTGGGTGTGGTGGCACATGCCTGTATTTCGCTACTTGGAAGGCTGAGACGGAAGGATCACCTGAGCCCAGCAGGTCGAGGCTTTGGTGGGTGTGAGTATGCCACTGCACTCCAGCCTGGGTGACAGAGTGAGACTCCAACTCAAAAAAAAAAAAAAAAAGCATGGCTGTTGACTTTTCGAGAACTGGGATCTTATTTCTGTGACTCATGATTCTAGGCATTGTTGACAGTGTCTTCTCAGGAAGACACCGTGCTGTGGCTGAAGCTGCTTGTGGCCTTTGGTGGCCACCTCTTCCTCCTAGATGAAAGAAGTGGTGGCTCTTACTTTTAGCACTGCACCCTACAAGCAGCTGCTTCTCTGTATGTGGTGTAAAGGTCACATATGTAATATACACCACCCTGAGTTTTAAAGATTTGGTTAACGTATTCTCATTTGGCAATTGCAGGTGAAGGACTTAACTAAGTACTTGGATCCCAGCGGGCTCGGCGTGATTAGTTTTGAAGACTTCTACCAAGGGATCACAGCTATCAGGAACGGAGGTCAGTCATCCCTACCATGCACTCCCACTGCCTCCCCCAGTCCCTAGTCACCCTCTCAGATACCCTCACTCCACCAAACTCCATGCAAGTGTAATGTCTTCCCTTCTCCTTCAAGCCCCTTAATGCTCCAGGCTTCAAGATGACTTCTCTCCTTGTTCTTTGCTTCTCACATACCCAGCCTTCCAGAATTGGCTGACTGAACCCGGCTTACTCTGTTTCTTTATCACACCTCTGTCCATCCTAATGTCTACCCACCAGTTCATTTTTTTAGATGGGATGTGTTTCAAATCAGTATGCTTTTGTACACCCACCCTAAACACTTGTGCATGCATAGCAGTCATTATCTAGAGCTCAGTATTTGTTTCGTCTTTTTTTTTTTTAGTAAGAATTTGCCTACAAGCTGGGCTTGATGGCTCAGCCTGTAATCCCGTTCCTTTGGGTGGCTGAGGTGAGTGGATTGCCTGAGCCCGCAAGTTCGAGACCCGCCTGGGCAACTTGGCGAGACCTCATCTCTACAATAAATCAAAAATTAGCCAGGCGTGGTAGCGCGCGCCTGTAGTTCCAGCTACTTGGAAGACTGAGGCAAAAGGATCGTCGGACCCCAGCAAGTCGAGGCTGCGGTGGCCGGGAGCGGCCACTGCACCCCAGTCTGGGCTACAGAGTGAGACTCCAACTCAAAAAAAAAAAAAAGAATTTGCCTACAGTGAAATGTACAAATCTTGTGTGTACCATTTTGTGAGTTTTGGCAACTTCCCGTGCCTGGTAATGCGGTCCCTGTTGAGAGTATCACCATCACCCTGTAGTTTCCACATGCCTTTGCCCTTCTGTCAGTTCCCTCCCTCCTGCTGGTGCCTTCACCGATTTCTGTCACCATAGACTAGTTTTGCCCCTCTTGAACTTCATATAAATAAAACCATCAGCACCTGGCCTCTTTCTCTCAGCATGCTGTCTTTGAGAATCACCTCTGTGGTTATATCAGTAACCTGTTTTTTCTAATGTTGGGTAGGGTTTCATTGTATGCTTGTATTGTATTTTATTCATCTATTCTTCTGGTGAAGAACACCTGTTTTGGGCTATTATGAATAAAGTTTCTAAGAGCATTTGTGTACAAGTTTTTGTTTTTTTTTTTGAGTTGGAGTCTCACTCTCCCGGCCACCATAGCCTCGACCTGCTGGGCTCCAGCGATCCTTCTGTCTCAGCCTTCCAAGTAGCTGGAACTACAGGTGCGCGCTACCACGG